AGGTTTATCACTTGCCTGACACTGCAACTGAACTACACCCATTTTCAAGATTTTTTGCAACTGGTCACAGGTCATTGCATACTGGTCATAGATCATGAAGAGTGGTCATAGGTCATTGCATACTGGTCACAGGTTAATGAAGTGTGGTCACAGCCAATTGCATATTGGTCATAGCTCATTGCACAGTGGTCACAGGTCATTGCAAATTTGTCACAGTCCAGTGCACAATGATCATATAACATTTTTGCTTACAAATTTTCATGTGACAAACTGTACATGCATTATAAGTACATTGGTCACAGGTCATTGTATATTAGTCACATGTCATTGCATATTGGTCACAGGTCATCAAGAGTGGTCACAGGTCACAGGTCCTCGAAGAGTGGTCACAGGTCATTTCAAATTGGCCACAATTCAGTGCATGATGATCATATAACGTTTTTGCCTAAAGGTTTTCATATGTGTACGCGCGTGTCATACGTACAAGTGGTTACATATTTTAGCTGTACATCCAAAGTGCATTGCAATGAAATCAAACACATGTCATAGATCCTGTTATATGGTCATAGCACACTTTATAAGTCAATATACCAGATTTATTAGCACAAAAACTAAGCATTATATTGGTAGCGATATAGTCAATATGTATCATCTTATGTCTTTGTGCTACAATACAAAAAATCAATGAATGAAAAAATGAAGAAATTATCATAATTATATCAATGTGTATTGCTAGTCTTTATCCTCTTCTTTTCTTTATTCTTGTGGCTCTAACTTAACGGAACTAGGTTGCTGCACGTTCTACGATTGTTATCACTTTCACCACACCGACCGCATTTGACAATTATGTTTTCTTCATAGGCTGATCTAAATCTCTTCTCAGTAGGCCTTTCATAACTACGCTTTTGATTAGGTGCTAGTACAACTATGTTATGGGCATCATTTGGCACTATCCATTCAGATGAATTTCCAACGGAAAAAATGGTTTCTTGGAATGTATTTTTGCGTGCTTCACTTTTGTAGTCGTATGAATAGTATTCATGTGCTTCTATCTTCATACTTGCAAATACAGCCAAAGCATGTAGGCAAGGTAGTTGATCAACTTGAAGCATCCTATATATGCATATTTGATTTTCTATATCAACAATGGAAGATGAACTTTCACTGCTAACTCAGAAATTGCCTGATTAATGAAAAAACCTACAGTTACGGATGCAAATTATATATACAATAAGTCACAAAAATAAAAATCAGGACAAGAATGAAAGTGCATGTCACATACGTATATGATGTTGCACAAATATTACACAAACACAATAGTATAGGTCACAGCACAAGTAACATATATTATGTTTGGTCATAGTAGATCTTAGAGGGAAACAACCAGATTTATCAGAATACAGTCTTGGTCATAGATCAATTTTGGTAAGTCACAAATTAGTGACTAGGTCACAGCATTTAACTTTACCATCATGTTCCTCATAAATGTGCTCATTTTCTTCACTAGCTTCTTATACTTACTTGACAAGGATGCAAAAGTGCCTTGTGCGTTCTCCTTATGTCTGTACAACCAAGATTACAAAATTTGTCTTAATGACTCCAACAAAGCTAAAATAGGGTAGTTCTTGGCAGACTTTATGACCACATTAACTTACTCCATGATATTCGATGTCATTGTAGAGTACCGATTTGAAGGCATGCAGAAACATGAGCATCTTTCAGGTCCAATATCGTCCTAGAAACAAAAACATGGAGACGTATATCATATAGTATACAGTATCCTGTCAAATATGTTTAAATGAATATAGATTGTTGATAATGTATAGTATATTACTAGGTAACCCCTTATCTTCTCATTAATCGAGTCAAGCCGTTGTATGTAATATTCATATTCCAACAATATGTACGCGCGAACAGTTGCATTGAATACTTGTATGGTGTTTTGTCCTGATCTTCTGTAATGTGATTTTAGATTTTATAGTAGATGGTACGAACATATCATATGACAAGTTCCTGGATACATGTTTTCAATTACCTTTTTGATAATGTTGTGATGATCTAATACGAAGCACAAACTGTCTGTCCCCATAGGCTTTCTTCAGCTATCCAAAAAATCATGTCCAAGAGCTGTCATTTTCGTTATCTCCAATCCCGAAAGGAAGTACTTATATGCTATTATTTGCATCTTACATAAATGGCGTGAATAAGGGGCCACCATAGTGTCCATTTAGATATGTTCCATCAACCACAACAATTGGCCTACAATGTTTATATCCCCGTATAGATGCACCTAGTGCCATGAAGCAATATTTAAACCTTACTATGACAATTAATTTCTAGGCTTGTGACCGATCTAGGATTTGTTTGCTGTAGCACAGAAAAAAATGCTAGTATCTTATTGAATGAATCAATTGGATCACCCCTTAGCACTTTCAAAGTTTCCTTTGGAGATTACCAAGCTTTGACATAGTTCAAAGATACTCCATATGTATGCAGTGTGTTGTTGCGCATATCATTTGGTGAGTATATGGTACGTGATGATGTGTACTTGTACTTAATGCAGATTGGCACAACTGTCTTTGTTACTTACCTATGAGTGCAGAGTACGATGTTTGTAGTACATGTGTGACCTTCTAAAATATGCCTGATTTTAAACGTATCTATTCTGGCTAACTTGGATGCTTTGACAAGATAGTCTTTCTTATCTGACCAAATGACCACATATTCAAACATACGTTGGATTGCATAAAATGACAAGCTCAATTTCATAATCTCCTTGTTACGAAAAACTTTTCCTTCCTCTACCTCCCTAGCTTTTGCGACTGCCACAATTGTGACCACATGTTCGAACTTGTCACTAGATGGATCCACTATTGCTCCACATATATCTGATGACATATCTATTAATGAAAACCCATGTTCATTCAATTGGACATCGACTGATACTGCAATAGGTTGCTTTTTGCTATGTGTAGTTGTGACCTCAATGTGAATTGGATATTTGGCAGGATCACGATTCATATCCTTCAAAACTATGTATGACAACAAATTATTGTCACTCTTGATTGTTATCAGAGGCAAATCACTATTCAAGATATACTTTATCGTTACAACGACTTTTGTAGGGTCCAAGCCAAATTCTTTCATAATTGTATCAACAAGTCTCAAATACCCGAAACTACGATCAATCAACACTAGCGATTTGTGAGCCATTCAACAAACAAACGTGAATAAACCTCATTTCTACAAAAACCTCATTTCTACAAAATAAACAGAAACATAATCAATCAAACATACAATTATAGTCACAACAAACGCACGTCAAATCTTGAATATTATGGTCACATATTGAATACATGCAAGTCACATGTTCGTATTTTCCAGATTTTTACAATACTAGATTTGGTACATGGTGTCGGTGAAATTAGTTGGTATTTGGCATATCCCGAAAAAGAACATTAGAAAACAATGCAGTGGATATTCAAAAACTTGCGGGGCTCTATTAATGCTTACTTACATTTTGATAGAAATATAGATCGAGTTATTGGGTATATGGATTCAGATTATGCAGGAGATCTTAATAAGAGGAGATCACTTACAAGGTATGTGTCTAACTTTGGATGTTGAACTATTAGTTGAAAAAAACTACTTTGCAGAATACAGTAGCATTGTCTACATCAAAGGCAGAGTACATGGCTATTACCGAGGCAAGTGAGGAGGATATGTGGTTGAGAAGATTAATTGGTGAAATCAGTACTATAGTGTATTGTGATAGTCAAAATGCTATCTTTTCTGACTAAGGATTAGATGTTTCATGAGAGGACTAAGCACATTAATGTGGGATACCATTTTGTGTGTGAAGTGATTGCTCATGGTGATATTGTAATGAGCAAGGTTGATAAAGATAACCTTGCTGATATGTTGACAAAATTACTTCCAATTACTAAGTTTGAGCATTACTAGAACTTGGTGTTTATCATTGATCTAACCCATTGGAGCTTGTTTGGAAGAAGAGTAGTGGTGTTTGCTTTAGAGATGTGTTATGAAATTCCATGTATTAGAATTTTGTTCAAGATAGAGATATGTTGTAGTTTGACTTTCAAATTCTAGTGGGTATTGGAGTTTTGGTTAAGTGGTCTTGAAAGAGAACAAAATTATTGATTTTTGCTAGCCTGCCACTAGCTAGACACTCAAGTGGTGCCTGCAAATTTCTCTCGAGACGTGATGCATGCCTATCACTCGAGTAGTGGAGCTCTCGCCTACCTACCACTAGCATGTCGCTCGAGTGACAAGGTTATTCAGCCCAAGCCCATTTTGTTCTTTGATGCGTTTTCTAAACTCTTATGCATCTACAACCTAATTTCTAGGTATATATATATATATATATATATTAGTCATGACTTGTATTATCGAGAGAACAATTCATACAACATCTTGAAAGCTATCTTAATTAAGAGTAGTTAGATCTTGTTGTAAATACAATTGCTATTGATTATAGTGAAATTCTCTCCTCTGCCTATGGTTTTTTTTCCATCTCAGATTTTCTCATAAATTTTTGTATTCTTATTTTGTTCCTGTTTATTTAATTATTGTCATTATCCTACGATCAATTCATAACAGTTGCCATTCATTTGTTTTACATACATATATAAGTTTACTTTTTAAAATATATAACTGAATGATGTAATACTCAATGAAATGTATTATAGAACAATATTTGGGCTCAACAATCTAGAATGAGAGTGATATCTTCACTAACACAGCAAGTAGAAAGTCACAGAAAAATAAAAATATTTTAGTAATGCAAAATAATAACCTGCGTCGACAAGGCGAAATTTGTGGCTACACCAAAAGTAACCAATCAATTAACGCTTGTAATATTTTAGTTAGATCAAATCCAAAATTACTATATTTCCCCTCTCAACATCTTCATTTCGTATATATTGTAGTTAGACTTATTGCTTCCTTCCTCAACCGACATCAATTGGGTTCCCAAGTTACTATGTTTTCACCTCATCCATTTGGAAACCTGTATAGAAAGGCGTCTTATTAACAATTGGCAAAACAATATGCGAACTTTTACCTGATTTTGGTGACTTTGGAGAAGGATTCAATGTTGTAATGGTTTCCTGCAAGGCAATATTCGAGGGTAACTTCTGATTCACATCTTCAATATGCTTATCAATGGTAACTTTCACTGCATTATTTTCATCAGGTTCTAAACTTCCTTTTCTAAATTATCAATACTTTAATAGAATAAACAGGGTTAGTTTCATCAGGATGTTTCATGGCATCATAAATGTTAAATTCATTGATTTTATCATCAAATTCCATAGTAAGAATGCCACTATAAAAATCTATTTTTGCTTTGGATGTTCTTAAGAATGGTCTTCCAAGCAAAATGGGGATAGTTTGATCACCATATCCCATATCAAACACATAGAAGTCAGCAGAAAAAACCAAATCATTAACTTTCACGATAATATTCTCAACTACACCCTTAGGATAGGCATTAGATTTATCAACTAGTTGAATTATGACACCAGTTTCATTCAAAGGTCCAAGTTTTAAAGAAGTATATACAGAGTATGGCATGACATTAATAGAAGCTCCTCAGTCTAACATGGTCTTTTCAAACCTAGTGTTACCTATCGTGCAAGGGATGCTAAACATGCCTAGATCTTTGCACTTTGTAGGGAGATTTCTTTGAATGATTGCAGAAATATTTTCTCCTACGTTTATCTTTTCACACCTTTTAAGTTTCTATTTTCTTTTAAGAGTACATAGTTCCTTCAAGAACTTAGCATAAATGGGTCTTTTTTAATAGCATCCAACAATCGAATGTTTACCTTACATTTACGGAAAGCTTCATAAAGTTCATGATTATGTTCATCTTTCCTGGGTTCTACTAAAGCTTGAGGGAAAGGAGGTGCCGGTTCATACGCAGAAATGGGTGAAAACTTGGGCTTAGGTACGCCATTGTCATTGGGAACACTCTTTTCTTCAAGGACATCTTTCTTCTTTTCTTGCTCCAATGATGTAGGGGTTCCCCTTGAAATTTCAACTTTCTTGCCACTCTTCAGCAAGATTGCACTTACATTTTCCCTTGGATCAACCATTGTTTGAAAGGGTAATTTTCCCGAACCTTATGCTTCCAACCTGTTGATTGCAGTTGCCATTTAACCTATTTGATTCTCCAAACTTTTAATACTTGCCCTTGTTTCTTGTTGGAATTGCAAAGTGTTAGTAACAAGAGACTTAACAATATCTTCTAAAGGTATATCTAAACTTGAAGTATTGTCCTGTTGTTGTCTAGGAGGGTATGGTTGCCTGTATTGCTCGAAGTTTGGATGATTTTGTTTGATTCACTTGTTGGTTCCCACAGCTAAGATTAAGGTAATCCCTCAATCTTGGATTATAAGTGTTTGAGTAAGGATCATAATTCCTTTATGGTTGTCCAGGAAAACTGCCTATTGCATTAACTTGTTCATCAGAGTCTTTTTAAAGAGTTGGGCACATATTAGTTGGATACTCTGGCATTGAACAGATTCTACACGCCTTTGCTATTTGCATAGCACATGTAGACATTTGTCGAACAAGAGTAGTTAGACTCAAAATCTATTGTTCAAGGGATGAGATATTTACCTTATTGACACTTTTAGAAGGAGTGTCGAGTCTAGTGCCATACTGTTGAGAATTGGTTGCCAGGTTCGCAATTAAGTTTCTTGCGCCCTCAGGAGTTTTATCCACCAATGCTCCTCCACTTGCAGCGTCAACCATACTTCGTTCCATGGGTAGAAGGTCTTCATAGGAATATTGGATGAGAAGTTGTTCACTAATTTAGTGATGGGGGCAACTTGCACACAATTTCTTTAAACGCTCCCAATATTCATGTAGAGATTCCCTGTTGTCCTGCCTCACTCCACAAATTTCTTTTCTAATATTTGTTGCCCTTGAAGCTGGAAAGTATTTTTCTAGAAATAGCCTTTTCATTTCATTCCATGTGGTAATACTTCCAGAAGGAAGATAATAGAGCCCTCAATTTAATTTGCTCCTTAGTAACTCTTGTAGGTTTCATGCTTTTACAGACCACATGAATTTCCTTTAGATGTTTGTGGGGTTCTTCACCTGTAAGGCCATGAAAAGTGGGAAAGAGATAAATTAGTCCAGATTTAAGTTCAAAAGTAGTGGCAGCATCTAAAGTAGAAAAAGTAATGCGTAAAGGTTGTTCCTGCAAATCCGAACCTACAAGTTGTTTCTATTTTTGGATAGTACTACAAATCACCTTGGTTAGAGGGTCGATTTATGGGCATAAACAATCAAGGAAGCAAAAAGAAAGAAAAAACTAAACTAAACTAAACAAAATAACAAAATAAACAATTTTTTTTAAACAAAAACTAATGAAACAAATAAAAAGCAAAAAAATAAACTCCCTGGCAATGACACCAAAATTTGATGCGTGTTGTCGTAGGCAATCCAAATTAAAATCGATACTTCTTAAAATTAACGTAATAGTGGAAGTAAGGGTCAATCCCACAAAAAGTGACTGATTTATTTCTATGCCAAATAAACAATGTTTTAGGGGGGTGTTTTAACGTTATTAAAATCAACTTCAATAAAAGCAATCAATAACAACGCACTCAACGATTTAAATTAATCAATAAAACTAACCTTGGTATGAGTCAATATCCACCTTCGAAATTTTTATAATTAATCATGGATGCAAGTGTGAATCAATTCATATTTTCTGATATTCATCGTTGGAAAAATAATTACCATTCAAATTAATTTCCTGTTCCTCCTTAAGTGTAATTAGTTAGGGCAACGACCTTCTAACTAATCCTAATTATCAAATAACCATAGACAAGCACTAAGATTTAATTCAATAACAGCTTTACGTATTAGAGAAATTGATGAACTAGTTAACACAAGCCACGCGTTTACATTTAACCTATTCAAACATTCTTCCTAAGATTTAAAAATTTTCAAACCAACAAATTATTAATCCTAGTTGCTTCACAAGTTAAATCAACCAAAAAATTACGGATTTGATGTTTAACTTAGCAATAGATTATGATGAATAATAAACTAGTAAATCTCCTAGCAATTAAACATAACAATCATTGAAAATAAATACAAAAGAATGTTCAATACTCAAAACCATGAATTAAACTAATAAAACAATTCGATCTCACAGTTGTATAGATTCCGAGGCTTCAATATCCTCGACCAAGTATGAGAAAATTAGTTTCACATCATAGATTTTCGGCATGAAGAGAGAAAAATAGTGTTGGGGCGTTCTCCTTAGTTCTGGTTGTGTTTTGGTATTTAAAGGACGCCAACGAGATTGCTTACCAAAATCGAATAAGTAAAGAAAGAATTTTCCCAAATTTCTCTTGAGGCACGCGCCTAGCTATTTTGGGGAGCCTCGGGCGTCTCTTTTTCGGTTGAGGCGAGCACCTAGGCATGATTCCAACAGCCAAATAGTATTTAGTATTTTTGTCATAACTTTCTCTCCTGATGTTCAGTTAAAGTGATTCAAGATGCATTGGAAATTAAATTGAAAGGGCTAGAACTTTGATTCAGATGTCATCTTCCAATTCAATCGTTTACTATGTCAAAAATGGGTCTCAATATATGCTAAAAACCGATGCATAACTTTTTCCATTGGAAATTAAAGTGTGATTATACTTTGATTGTATTTCATTCTTTTCACTTCTTTTCTCTTCAATTTGACCTCTAAAACTCTTGAATCGTCATTCCATCGCTCGTCAAATCTATGGATTCTTTGCAACTTTATCCCTGAACTTTCATCTTCTCTCTTCTTGGCCTCTTTTTCTTGTTTTCCTTCTCCCAACACTTTGAGTCTTCCATCGATTGACCTTTAAATCTTTCACTCATTCGTTTTGCCTTCCAATTTAACTTTTAGATAATTACATTTTAGTCCTTCAACTTTTGATTCCTTTCACTTTAGTCATTTTTGCTCTTTTCTTCTAATTTCTGCCATCATCATCCAATTGCGACCTAAATCAAAATATAAGAGTACTCAATACATTTAGGCATCAATTAATCACAAAATGCCAACATTAATGGATGAAAAATATGACATTTTATGTTCTACCTGTGTGCAAAACTTGCAGCCAAATTTATCAATTTCAAAAACATCATATGATAAATGCATAAATTAGCGATTCTTCTATTGTATCGTAATATGTGAAACAAGCATAAAGATGAAAATGATTTAAACAATATCCTGCATTTCACATGTCTCGTTGAACATGTGCAAAAAATGTGCAAAGACAAGTTGTAAAAGTGCCAAATTGTAGGTGCTTGACATGCAGAAGACTTATTTTTTGAATGCAAAAAAATTATAAAATAAAGGACACAGTATACCATGTTGAACATATTTATGAAATATAAAAAATTAAACAAGATGTCAATGATAAAGCGAGAACTCAAATTTAGCCGGTACAGAAGTTCAATAAGAAAAAAACCAGAATAAGGAAATAATATAATAATATAAAAACCTTATAAACTTTCAAAATTATTCCTTGTGGCTTTTTAAAATATAAATTATTAATTATAACAGAGCAACTTCTCAATATCGAAACATTTTCAAGACTACAAATGGAATCTTATGTATACACTAGTTAAAAAGCTATTTTAAGGATTACCAAGGCTTGCCATAACACATATATTGATACACAGAGAGGAAAGGTAAAGGAGGAGAAGGAGAAGGAGAAGGAAATGATGTCAATAACGAGTGTAAAGATAGCATGTCTTACCAGGCATTGTCCCCTGAAATAAGGAAATTCCTTATCTACGAGAAGACAAAGTTTCAAAGGCATTGGTCGAATTTTATATGCAAAGGATTGAAGGAAGAAAATGATCTGAAGGGCAACGTTGACACATTGGAAATGACATTGTCACAAGTGCTTGGGTCGAGTAAAGCAAGGAGAATTCACGGTAATTGATCAGATGGAGTTGCTATTAGAGCATTCCAAGCTTGCAGGATTAACCAGTCAAGGCAAACACACCTTGATCCAGGTAAAGATGATAGGGCTTACAACATAAAGTTCGAGTTCAAAAGAGGTACAAATTGCATCCAAGAGGTGATGGGCGATTTCACGTGCTTGCATTGATTGGGAACAAGGGCTACAATTTGGAACAAGATTCGAGGATGATCATTTTGAAGAGAAAGGGTCTCATGTAATCTGAGATACGTCTCAAGAGTGCAAGGAATTGACGCATGTTGGCAAAGTATTGAGATCAATATTTGAACTAAGTAGGGTTCCGATTGAGGATGATAAAGCTTGCCAATTAATTGTTCAAGCCATGGAATTCAACATGATGAAGTTAACATGCCAAGGTCCAAGTTTGATGTTGGGGTCGAAGGGCAAAAGGTGTTGGATCAATGTATGCAACCGCAGGATGGAGCTGAGCTTTTGGTTGCAGGGAAATTTCAAAGGCTCAACATGTCAACCATGCGACCACAACCGATTGTGCTATGCGGTCGCATAGTACTAAGACGAGGCAAAAAAAAATTCCTTTTTCGGGAAGAGTTTTATTTATGTTAAAATACTTTTTTTTGGTAATTTTAATATTCTTAGGACTCTAATTTCAATTTTACAATATTCCCAAGGTTAATATAAATATTTGTAGTTTTCTTTCATTGTGGGATAAGATTTTTGATAATAAAAAATTGAGACTTTTCTCTCTTGAAACTTTTGCTTCAAAACTTAGTTCTTCCATGGGCAAAAATTGAACTTATCAAGATTAACCATATTGTGGCTTTCAACAAATCGGGTGCGATTTACATAATTATTTGTAATTAAAAGGTCCTTTACAACACCGTTATTGTGGGTTGTTTGGTTCGTAATTATTGGATCAGATCCAAAATTCGAGGTAAAATTCATTAATCTTACATAATCAAGAGGTCAATAATTTAATATATTATTGGTTGCTTGGTTCCAATATTGTGGGTTGAGTTCCAAACCTCGATTGTTGGCTTTTCTTGGGATCAGGAGTTAATATCCTGTGAGTTCAATATCGATCTTGCTATTCGGGGTTCGCATCATTTGGTATCAGAGCCTAGGCCCCAAAATCAAGGTTGTATCCT